GGCGGGTGTGGGTTTTTCCTCTGTGTTTGCGTTCTGGGTTAGCTCATTCTCGGGTCCCATGTTCCGTGGCACGTTGAGTGGAACGGTCGTGAACATTTGGGTACCATGTTCTGGGCTGCTTTGTAACGTGTAACCTTTCTGATCAGCTTCGGTGTGCCCTCGCGACAGAAGTTCGGTTCCCGCGTCGTCCCTGCCGGTTCCCGGGTCATCCTCACGTGCTGGCCAATCGTTCCCACCCTCTCCTCGCCAGCCTGTCTTGCAGCGAGCATCGCCGCGGCCACGGGCTCCTTCGCCTCCGCCTAGTCGCGCCGCAGAGCTTGGGGATCGGCCCGCGCCCAACCCGCCCGCCACCTCTCAGGTGCTGCAGCTTCCGGCTGCCCCCAGCCTGGATCCGTTTTGTGCTCCCGACCCACTCCCGCTCGACGCCCCATTCCTAGCTCCTGACGGTTCAGAGGACGAGGAGAGTAACTTCCCTCCCTTCGATCTCCAGATCCCCGCCGCGGATGAGTTGCACGGCCTCTCTTTCCCTGCCGCCATGCGCCTCCCTGCTATGTCGCACGATTTCCGCCTACCGGAGCCTAGGCGCGGCCCCGTCGGCAGGTGGTCCACCCACAGCGCCTATCTGGCTTAGGCTCTTCGCCTCTTGAAGGACTTGCAGCGCCGCGACGCGTCGGCATGTCAAGATGTTCAGGCCGTGATTGTCGAACTGAAATCCATCTTGCTCGATGACTCTCAGTTTGTGGCCGGGAACTGGCATCACTTTGCTGAGTTGTGGTCCCAGTACCTTCGCAGCATTCCCCGTTGGCCTCAACGGCCCAAGGCTATATCCTGGCTACGCCATGGTTACACGATCGACTGGGTCGACCCCGAGTCGCCATGCCAGCAATTGCATCCGCATTTTAAGGCTAAGCGCAAGGAGGTACGAGCCATGCTCGCCAAGGTGCTTCCCCAGGACCAGCTCCTGGGTCACCTGACGGGGCTCCGCCCCGGCTTCGTGGTGTTCCCCAATCGGCAGTCTGCCATGGCCCACGAAGAATTCACGGACGGTGCCATTCGCGGTCTCGTGGAAACAGGCATGGCGGTGCTGTTCGACCCCGCTCTCCATGCTCTGGTACAAGTGGACAACCCACTGGCGGTGGTCACCCAGCGCACGAAGATGCAACTGGTGATTGACCTTCGCTATGTCAACTCCTTCGTATGGTACTACCCAGTCCGCTACGAGAGGCTGTCTGACGTCCTTTCATTCGCTCATCGTGGGTGTTACGCCATAGTCATGGATTTGAAGTCCGGGTATCACCACTTGCGCATGCGCCGGTGCGACTGGCCATTCCTCGCGGTGCACTGGAAAGGTAGGACCCTGCTCCTAACCCACCTGCCGTTCGGTTTGGCATCCGCGTGCACGGCCTTTACCCTTCTTCAAACCGCTTTCTATAGGCCTCTTCGGCATTTTGGATCGTTGATGGCTTTCCTCATTGACGATCGTTACGGGGCTGCGGCCACCCTGCAACTCTGCATGTTGGACGGTTTGGTGCTGGCCCTCATCGGGATTGCCCTCGGGACGTTCTTCTCCTCCAAGAAAGCCGACTAGATGCCGAAGCAGACCCAGCGCTTCCTTGGATTGGAGGTCGATTGCGGCGTGGGCGCCTTTCGCGTTCTTGCGGATAAGCGCAACTATTTCCTTGCTACCATGCGCGACCTTTTGGCCGGAGATCACATCACTCCTCGTCAGCTCGCCCATGTTGCGGGACTCATTGTCTCTGTGAGCATGGCCGTCAACCTGTGCCCAGTCTTTACCAGGTGTTTATTCGCCGCGCCCTTGTTGGGACTCAATCATGGGATGAGATTTTCCCTACACCTCAGTCGGTGCGCGCAGAGCTCGAGTGGTGGAGGGATAATTTCCACGGGGTGGAGGGCTGGCGCTGGCCCAGTGTTTGCGAAACGACCGTTGCGGTTGGTGATGCATCCGATACGCATACTGGTGCATTCTTCCCTGATGGGGCTCTTCCCTACCTCCTACAGGTGCCCCTTCCTTCGCACCTCATCGGTGCTAGCTCCACAGCTAGGGAACCGTCCGCCGTTCATTCGGTTCTCCGCACCTTGCTCGCGTGTGCCCCTGGCATGGTGAAGGCGCATCGCCTTCTGTACCATACTGACAGCCAGGCCAGCAAATATTGCATCGACCACCAAAAAGGGGTCAATGAATGCCTCCCTCTGGTCCGGGCGGTCCATTTGTTGGCCTGGGAGAATGATGTGGAGCTTGAGCTAGTTTGGTCGAACAGGGAGGACCCCTGGCAAGTTCAGGCTGATTTCTTTAGTAAGCCTGATGATCCTCATGACTAGAGGTTCAGACCCAAGGCCGTCGCATGGATCTGCCACCAGCTGGCCATCGATCCTGCCCTGCTTACCCTCGATGTGTTTGCGACCGCATCCACAGCGGTTTGTGCCCGGTATTTCTCTCGTTACTTCGACGGCCAGTCTGCAGGGGTGGACGCTTTTTCACATGACTGGTACCAGGAGCGCGGCTACGCGTGGGTCAACCCCCCGCCCCGTCTCGCAGGTCAGGCGCTCCAGCGCCTCACCCGCCACTGGTTCGCTGCCATTGTGGTGCTGCCCGCGGCTTGTCGCGCGTGGGAGTCACTCCTCTCGTCCCTACCCGGACTCCACGGCCCTTTAGTGTTGCCTCGTGCCATCACCTGGCATGGGGCGGTGATCCGCCCTTGGTTCTTTTGGGGTTCGGGAGCAGCGGGTTCGACGAAACCCTCAGGATGGTACCCGTGGGTGCGGGTGTTTGTAACACAACCTGTTGATTAAACGTCTCCTGCTACATTCTCCGGGTGATTGTCTCGGTCTCATGGTTTGTTCATGGTCGCCAGCCGGGCTTCGAGCTCCGGGGGCGGTCCACCCCACACTCGCCATGGGGTCCGTCCCGTCTCCCCCGGCCGTTCCTGCTCTGTGGTTCTCGCTTTCACCCTTCGTTCGGCCTACACCTGGCGATGCCAATGCCGCCCCCGATCCACATACCGCTCCACGGTGCCCATCGATCGTAATAGCGTTTGGCTAACCACATTAGCTATCGACATCCCTAGTTCGTGGTGTCTGTGTTGTAAGCTTCCACACTTGCCACTATAATAGGTCAAAGTTTCTGGTGCATCAACTCGTTGCGCCCACTGACGCATAATGCGGGTGGCTTCCATCGCATCCACGGACTGGTTCTGCGGTCCATGGTGGTGCTTCCAGACCGGTAGTAGCACCTGGATATCCTCGCGCTCGTGTTGACGGAGCCAGTCCCCCAAGCCTTTGAACCAGTACAGGAACCCCAGCTCCGGGCGCTGGTCTATCTTCACCCGTCCTAGACGGAATTCCGTCGTGGTCTTTAGGGCCCATACGTCCAGCATGATTACCCCCTCCACAGTCCGCCAACCCGTCGCGGGCGTCCAGACCGGGCGGCCCCATTCATCCACTATCATGTCCCGCATGTATGGTCCCAGCTGGGGCCTGACTCGCTGCCCAGTCTCCCATAGAAAGGTCAACAACAACGCATCTCGCATTACCTATCCTCTTCGCATAGGATCTGCCTCGCTTTCTATTTCCTGCTGGCAGGCTTCCAGCATCTTTCGATACCATTCCACCCTTAATGGCTCAGCGCTACTCTCTCCTACCCTCTGCACCTGCTGGGAGGCACGGTAGGTCTTTTTCCAGGTCCGGACGCAGTCCGACCTGCACGGATTCCCGCTCCAGTCCCCGCTTTGCCAGTCGCCTTCTCGCCCATTCCGGCGGAACCAGCTACTCAAGTGACTGACTTCCTTCTCCATCATGTTGAAGTGCCACACTCTCTCCCCACTCTCCGTGTGCGTACGGGCCCGTCCCTGTCGCCTCCGAGATACCCACTCCAGGAAGGTTATCACATCTTCTGGTTGTGGCAGGCCCTGTTGCCACTCCCCAGGCCGCCGGGCCCACCAATTCACGAAGTCCTGCTCGATTCGCTGTTTTCGTTGCGGCAACCTCTTCTCGGCAATCCGCTCCACTCGCGCTCTATGCGCCTCCCGCGCTGCTCGGTACTGCTTGTTCATATCGTCTACTGTCCACTTCTCCCCTCGGACAGCCGCCACTGGTCCCCCTAGCACCTCGTCCCGGGTCTCCTGCACTTCCTATTCCCGTGACACACTCCGTCAGTCCGCATGCGGCAATTGCCTTTGCAGCCCATGATTGGGCCGAACGGTTGGGTATGCCTGGAAATGGCCCTCTCGCCTCCTTCGGGAGGAAAATGGCATATCAGGGTATGCGTGGCTAGGCGCTCGAGCATGGCGCCAAAGCAGGAATCGCAACCGTTAAGGATGCCGGAGGGCCGTTGACGATTGAAATAACAGGCATATGCCCCTCTCCGTTCCGGGCGGGGGCGGACCATGAGGCCCGCCCCCGGATCGGGGCATTTGGCAAGTGGTTAGGGCGTGAGTGGACCGGAAAGGGGGAAAGCGCGATGGCGTAACGGGACGGAAGGTAATGGCGTAATACAATTTAAGGTTAAATGGTCATTTGTTAAGATACACTCATACCATATGAATGCACCATGCACCAAAACGAATGCGTCTTGTGCGCCTGGCTCACAGCTTCATTGGAGCGGGACATGTGTGTCAAAGGGCGGGGCGGGGCGCGTCAGGGCGGCCGTTCGATCTCATGTGGGTCCCTGCACAGCATCGCGACCCTCCAAACTCGCCGAGGTATTGTGTCCTTGTGCGAATGACTCGTCCCTTGACAGGAGGGAACGGCGTGTATCAGAGGACTGGGAACCGCAGTCAGATCCACGTGTGGTCCCACACAGCATCGTCACTCTTAAGGGGCCATGTGGCTGGAGGCGAGGCCCGCAATCTTTCAATGGACGCTATTTAGGGGCAGTCCCATGTCGGTCACGTGTGCAAACTTGTTGAGAAAATTGCTGGAAAGGCGCTCCCTGACGGATCCCTTGAAACCCCTGATCTGGCGCAGCACGCCAGCGACGACAGATAAGGAGAAGGATCGCACACCGCCACCCTCGGCGCGTCCTTGCCGCGGGGAGGTCCAAGTCTTTGCCGCCTCCCGCTGCCGCGGCCTCCTACTGTCGCCCATCACGAGGGTACAATCCCAATTGCGGAGGAGGCGCGCCTCTGTGCCGCAAGTAAGACCCCCGTCCGCGAGTTCTGGGCAGGCCAGCCCGTTTTCACCTTGGGAGTGGATTGCCTCCCATTGTTTGGCCCGTCGCCGCCCATCTGAGCTGCGGGTCGTTGTTTCAGGGGTCGAGCCGCGGCCATGCTCCCCACACGGGGAGTATGCGGGGCCCCTCGTTCTGTGCGCCGCGCGCGCCCCCAGATCCTCTCACACGGCGGGGCCTTGTGGGGAGGGAGCCCCTGGCCCGCGCGTCGCCTGCGCACCTGGTTGATCGCAGCGCGGTGGGCGCTCGTTTCAGGGAGATTCGATGTGCTGGTGACCGCACGGATGGTCCGTCATCCAAAGCGACGTCGTCCATGTGGTCTGTTCCCTCCCTCTCCCCCTCACCACATCAACCCCACCCAACAGCCACTGCAAAGCACGGCCCCTTCCAAAGGATGATGGTTGACAATCCGGTGGTGTGAGCGCCGCCCCCCTCCCTCCCTCTTCCTGGCGATCGCGTGAACGAGCTGTGCATAAGGATGGGCACACGAAATTCCTGCCAGGGCAGGCAATTCGGCCCGAAGGCCTTTGCCGTTGTCGATGAACCGATGCACACCAACGAACAACGCAAAGCAGGAAACTGATGTCTCAGAAACGCGCAGGTTTGTTTGACTCTTCGTGGCCCACACCTGCAGCATATTCTTATGGGCGGCCCCCGCGGCATACTGTTTCACAAGTCCACAGCAGCCCCCATCGTTCCCATTCCCTCTAGGTGGTTTGACTCAAGTACCAAAACTTCTGTTCTCCAAGGGCAGCGGCTCTGTTTCCGCACCGCCTGCTCCAAGAAATTTCATAACAGCTAGGCGTCTTAAAAGCCTTGCGGGCGTGCGCCCGAGTTGGGTTGACTAAACATAAGGCGATCCTCCATCCCAAGTGTGGGCGCCCACGACGCAAGCGGCGCGGATGCTTGGCCCGAATCGTCTACCGGGTGCCCGCAAACTTTTTTGTCAGGGAGGTGTCGGCCACAGCACACCAAAGGGGGGCAGCTACCCAGGCAACACAATGAATCATCAGGTGCAGGTTGGCGTCCGCCCGACAGCCGAACGGGCGCCGAGAGGGGACCGCTCAACGGCGCCAGCAGGGGCTCGTGGCTCCTGATTCGCGGAGAAGGAGGGCGCCAAACCGTCCTGGTTGAAACTTAGGCACAACATTGACACCTTGCCGACCGGCCCTTCGCGCTGTCTGCGGCCTAAGCTCTCCCCGTCAGAGGACCGGCGCCGTGCTTGGAGGAAAGTCGGCAGGACACGCAACGAGGGCGCCCGCTCCCGAATGTGGCCGGCAGGCTTGGGTCCACCACCAGGGGTGTTTCCCAAGGCCGATCCCGCCCCACAGCACAGCACAGCACGGGCTGGATTGCCGTGGTTACCTACTCAGGGTCAAACCCTGGTCTATCTCGACAGCCAGGGCAACGGAGCGATCAGGGGAGCCCCGGCCGGAAGCGGCCCACTGAAGCGCTTTTGATCCTCTTGTCAACAACAGGTTGGCGTGTGTCGTTCCTGTGGGCCCAGTCCCAAGATGTGGGCTTCCCACCCCCCACACCTCCTTCGTGGTCGCAAACGTTCCAGGTGCCTTGTGGCGTGGCACCCCCAAACAGCGGCCGAGGCGGTTGTCCTTCGTCGTGTGCGGGCGCGGTCGGTGGGTGAGCCCTCGCCTGGTTTGTTCCAACAATGTGCCGCCTCCCGCCAAAGGGAGTGGGTCCGAGGCTTTGCGCCCTTCTATAGGTTCGCCAGGGCGACCGTGCGCTGTTTTTGGGGCCCCGTTTTCCGGGCCCCGTTTTCCGGGCCCCGTTTTCCGGGCCCCGTTTTTCGGGCCCCGTTTTTCGGGCCCGCCCGGTTGGATGCTTGTCGCGGTCCGCCACGGGTGCCCCTGTACAAAGAACTGGACTAGAGGCCTGGAGATGGTAGGAATCTACACATGGGTCATTCTCCCATGAGCCGCATTTTCAGGATGCCACTGCCTTTGCGGCCGTCCCTCAATCTCAAGCTACGGCGTCACGCGACAGCATGGGGGCGCGCGTGGGGCGCAGCCAGCATTCACTTTGGGACGGATGGGCGTCGTGTCAGTCAGACAGCAGCCGAGTCGCATTTTGAAGTCGCTGCTTGATAGATGTCAGTGCAATTGCAGCAGGCGACAAAGGCAGGTAGGCACTGGTCGCAGTAAGCAACAGTTGTAAATATCCTGTGGGACATGCAATGGGCATTCCAATAGTTCACCTCGGAATGACATCAAACGATATGGTGTGAACCTACAGCATGACTTATCGGAAGGGGAGTACACTTCAGGTTTGCCTCCTCCTCGTGGCAGTGTTTAAAGCGCGGACATCTGAAGAACTTCTCCTTGGGCAGGTGAGCTGGGTGTGGGAAAACATCAAACGCTTCTGGCACATTAACCCATGGCTGAAATAGCCTCCCAGCATTTACAGCGCCCATCTTCGACCAAACGCGCAGTTCATCGCCACAAGAGATAAAATTCAAATTATTGTGCGCAGTGGTCGCATACGAGTTCTCGTTCATGCAAGGCCGCGTTCGTATTGACTGGTTACATGGTCAACATCTGAATCAGGGCCACGTCATTTCCTCCGGAGAAAATGGATCCCTGTGCTAAGGCATTGCGTCGGAAATGCCAGTATCCACAATTGGATAATTGCGGTATCCATTTTATGGCATGTGCAGCGGACTGGCTGCGTCGAGGCCCCAATGGGCCGCTTCCCTGCTGTGGTCAGCATCAAGGGGAGATATCGCGAGCACGTCTGCTTCGGTGTTCTGGTCGACAAGTGGCACGTCCTCACTGTGGCCCATTGCAGCGATGCGGCGGGCACCATGCCCTTGGTTTCCGTGCCTGCCAGCGCAAGCCAAAGTCAAACAGAGGGAGTTCAGGTGACTGTTCTAGTTCTGCTATTGATACAATATTTACAATTATTTGCGATGCACTGCCCTGCATCCACTCCATTGACTTGCAATTGCGCACATGTCCAGCAACTGAGATTTGGAGAGGAAAATCGGTCACCTGATGTGCTTCCATAGACCGTGCTGATGAGAGTACTGGGCGAGGTGTTGAGACTTGAAGACACAGCAGTGCGCCTTGAATCCTGCGCTGGCCTCCCCCGCTCAGCAATGTGAGAGGGCCCAGTTGATGGGAATTAAGTGCATTCAGACGCAAACGATCATGCCACGTAACTCTGCTTGAACCTCAACCTTGGACTTGGTGTGATAGCCAACCTGCCGAATTGATAGCAGTTTGCAAACAGGTGATGTGTCTTAAGTATTGTGTATCCATCCACGATGTTTAAAACCAAACTGTGGTGAGTACCACGCATTGAGAGAATGATGCACGTTAGCCGGTGATCCTATGGGGTCTGGAAGTAGAATGGAACATATCTGAACGATATAAGATTTTCAAGCTTAAACGGCAAACATGCACAGGATGGTGTTCATGTTCCTGATTTGTTTTGGCCTCAGTAGGATTTTTCTCTTGACAAACTAGTGCAAGGTTGAAAAGCATTTGAACTCCCTCAATTGGAGATCCTGTAGGAAACTTACGATAGCACCCTTGACCACTTCTGCAGTATGTTAGAGCCGAAACGACTATATTCCACGAAGAATGGAGGGGTGATTTGCGCCATGACTACGACGTCTCGATTGTGAGGCTGTCCAAGCCTGTCGATGTGCCAGGCCCTTTATTGGCGGGGCCCAGATACAAACTGTATCCAAATTCGAAGGTCCATACTTTCAAGCTGGGAACAAGTTTGGAGATCTCTCAGGCGGACGTCGTGGCCAACGCATTGTGCCCTCATATCTCTGACATGCCGCCCAACACGTTCTGCGCCTTTTCCTATTCATCAAGCATGATTCCGGGTGGGTTGAGAAATTTCAACGAGATGCGCATACCGAAGCTGCGACACCTGTGTGCTGCATTCATCTAAAGCACTCGGCTCGCGTAACATTTAATTAGTGGCGTTTGTAACCAGGGCAGCCGAAACGCAATTGTTGGTATTGTGACGCTGTGGAGAAATTGAGCTTTGCAATCAGCATTTTGAAATCCAAGCTGTGGATTTTCCAAAAGGGACAAGGTATCCTGGGACCTGTCGGCCATTATCCAGGCGCTACGCTGTGCTTTGCAAGGACTGTTTAAATGCACCAGTACTTCACGCATATTCATCAAACACGGTTGGAGGATCAACCAAGGCAGGTTTTCGACACCGTCACCTGAGCTTTCTGTTACCTCTTTCAATGGCACATCCGCATGGGTTTACGTTTTTCTATGGAGCGTTAGCCACAAACAGTCGGGGTGGCCCATAGCAGCCAATACAATCGCGTGAAGTTCCTCGCTGTCCTGCCTTTTCTCATCTTCTGTCCTACTTCAAAAGTCCTGGTGTGCACGTATGGATGAAACAATGGGGATAAATGCGTACTCTGTGCTCCCGCGCATGATGTGATTACTCTTGGAAACTCTTGAATTCTCTTCGCTTCTTCCTTTGTGCCACAATACAGAAACATCGCAGGAATGGCGTTCATTCTGTACTCAGACAATGCATCTACCGCTTGTTTTGCAAACTCATCATCATGCAGCACATTGCCGCACGTGCACGCAATGTACATTGAGGGTCCAAAACACACTTGGCCGGTAAATTCAATCAAGCTATGCAGATGCTGCTAATGCTTTCCACACCACGATAAATTTCTGGTGACATGCATCTTCAGGGATGTGAGATTTTCCCACAATTTTGGAGCGGATTGAAACACAACGTGGTGTTCCTATTCCTTGTCGACAAGGAATAGAGTTTCGTCACTTACGTGTACCCGCGTCTGAAGTGAAAGGCCTTGTATTTTTTTTGCAATTTGGAAGCAAATTTCGAGCTCTTTTCCTCGTCAGGTTGCTCAGGTGCACCGGTTCTCGTGTTGGATGATTATGGAGGCGTTGGCAGCATCCAGGATGGAGACCATGAGCATGACGTAGTGGTTGGCATTG